ATTTTTGAATATTGAATTAGTTTTATGTCCTTGGGACAAACCCGACTTCGTTATCTTACATAATTCTTTTTATATCTTGCTGAATTCTCTTTGTATTTTATATTTAAGTCCATGATCCATTTTAACTTAATTTTTGTAAGTGATTTTGTATAGATAAAAGAACAGTCCTAAAAAAGCTTTCTTCTTAATAACATATTCAGGACTCATGTTCTCATGTTCTTCTTGAATTATGTGTCAGTAATCCAATGGTAAATTTTTCATTTATGTATCACGGGACACTTTCAAGCTGAAGGTCCCAGATTTCCTTATAAATATTTATTACATGGCCACTGTTCCTGACAGAATGAAGGGAACAAGATGCTAAAGAACTCACATCATAAAGAATACACAGTATACCTTTATCTTTCTTAATCTCTTTGCTGTAATTCTCTTGCTGTCCTCCTTCCCTACTTCTTACTGTGAACGTTTATATATATTTAAACTGCATTTATTAGTTTGAGTAAATTAATATATTTATAGAATGAAGAAAGTCAACAGATCTTTACTGAGTTCTCATATAGGTCAAGCATTTTGCCAAGTAACTTTTGACTACATGGGACTCTAGCCCCAAGATGTTCAAAGCTTAAAGGGGTGGAAGGTATATAAACAGTTGAAATGCCAAAGTTGAGGGGAGAAATGCCAAAGAAAGCACAGTTTATTAAGGGAGTATAAGACAGGAGCACCAGCTCTACCTGGGGAAGTTAGTAAAGGCCTTCTAGGAGAAGTGATACAAGCTGGCACTGAGGGGACATTGGAATTTTCTAGATAGACAAAGTGAGATGAAAGTTATTCTAGGAAGATGCAGTAGCTTGTGCATGACATGAAGCCATGCAATTATGTGGCATATTTGGAGAATAATTTGTAATTTGTTATGCACCTGTAGTAAGTTCTGGGAGACTGGTAATTCATGCTGTATCCTCAGCATCTAGAATAATGCCTGCAGCATAGTAAGCACTAAACAAATATTTGTTGGATGGATGAATGGAAAGAAGGAAGGAAGGAGGCATAAATGAGGCCAGAGAGATAAGAGAGTTTCAGTAATAAAGACCCTTGCTTAGTAACATTTAGCAAATGTCTACCATAAAGATTTCTAGAAGAATAGGATATGTTCATAATCTACTTGGAAAGAAACAACAAATACCAAAAATATCTGTAATATGTAGTAGAAAATGACAGGTCATAAAAAGTACATAAAAAGTGTATGAAGGTTCAGAGGAAGTAGACGTCCATTTCAGCTAAGAGGATCAGAGAAGTTGTCATTGGAGCTGGACTTTTTGGAGTTGGTTATACTTGGTTCTCAGTTGTTTGATTTTTTTTAAAGGTGCATTGACTTGGAGAGAAAGTGGTGTGGCAGAAGAGGGATGCGAATTTGGGACTAGACTAGGCAGCCTTGCCTGCTCTGGCATAAATTTATCGGCATTTGATAAGCAGTCATTTATCAGCCTGCACCACTTCCTTGGAAACAGAACCTGACAGGCTCCGATTTTATCTGTAGCAGACACCTTTTTCTTGTTTATGAGGGTGTGTCTGTGTGTGTTTATACTTGCACCTGCACACCAGTGATTTGGAGACAGCTCTTTCTACAAAGACAAGCCCTGAAGAGGACACATGAACTGAAACGCAAGCTAAACTATTAACAATACATTTTTAAAATGTACCTTGCTACCCACACACTTGTATATGCATGCACCTGCTGCACGCACACACACACACACACACACACACACACACACACAAGCACACACAGAATTCTATAAGCAGTGGCCTGGGCAAGATTTTAGGTAACTGTAAATAGATAGTGCTTATTTTTTTAATTTTCTTCAGTTCTATCCTATCTGTCTATACCTTTTCTTCATTTCAGTGTAAGGCTTATTAGGCACCAGTTATATCCCTGTAACCTACTAGATGCTGTAAGGAGTTCATTTAAGAAAATGATTAGCCAATTAATTAATTCAGTACATATTCATTGATAGCCAGCTATATGTCAGGCACTATTCTAAACACTGAAGATGCAGCATGGAATAAAAAGAACCAATCCTTGCCCTGGTGTTTACATTTTGGGAGGTAGATACAGACACTCAACAAAAATACAGTATTTTAGGTGATGTAAGTAGTAGTAAGACCAGTATTGCAAAGTAGGGGGAAAGAGAGTGTTAGGATTGGGTGATCAGGAATGTTACCTTCCCCCCCATAATGGGACATTTGAATAGAGACTTGAAGAGAAGATGTCTGGGGGCGGAGTATTCCAGGCAGACGGAACACCTAGAGCAAAGACTCTGAGGCAGAAGTATGTGACTAGTGTGTCGAGAGCAGAATGGCCAAGGCAGAGAGTGGCAGGAGATGGCGTAAAAGATGTAGCATGGGAGAGAGATGACCATCAGTCAGACCTGTTGGCCATTTTGTAGACTTTGGTTTTTACTCTGAGATGGAAAGCCTTTGGGGACTTGTGCAGAGAAGTGACATGATCTGATTTATATCAGCTTCCATGTGGAGCCTGGGTTGCAGGATGAAAGGGTGGAAGCAGGAAGACTCCAAAATAGTGGGCTAGACCAGTGAATAATAGTGGAGGTGCAAAAAGACCAGATTGTAGATGTATTTTGAACTGTTTGAACCCATAGGATTTGTTGTTGGATTAGATGTGGAATGTGAAAGGAGTCAATGATGACATCAGGAATTTGGTCTGAGCACCTGGAAGGCTGGAGTTACTGTTAACTGAGATGGGTAAGATTGCAGGAAGAACAGGCTTGGAGGATATGAAGAGTTTTGAGCACATTGGGTTTAAGATGCCTGTTAGTGAAGAGTTGGATATAAGACTCTGGAGTTCGATAGATGGATCTGGGCTGGAGGAATAAATTTGGGAGTTGCAGCAAGTAGATGGTTTTTAAAGCTGTGAAACTGAATAAAATAATCTAGGGAGTGGGTGTAGAGAGAGAAGAGAAAGGGTCTGAGAATTGAGTGTGGGAGCATTCCAATATTTAGAGGTCAGGGAGATGAGAAGGAACCAGCACTGGAGCCTGAAAAAGAGAGGCCAGAGGGATAGGGGAATTGAGGGTGAGTTCTGAAGCCAAGGGAAGAAGGTGCTTCAAAGAGGACAGAACAAACCAGTATCAGGTGCTGCTGAGAGAACAAGTAAAACCCAAAAGTTGCATTAGCAGCCTCGAAGTCTTTGAGACCTTTGTTGAGTTATGTCAGTGGTAGGAGTGGGGCAGCCTGATTAGATTGCATTCCAAAAAAGAATGGGAAGAGAGGAAACACAGATCCAGTAGTACAGAAAACTCTTTGAAGTTTTACTGTAAAGTGGATCAGAAAACTGGGCCAGAGTTGGAGGGGGATATGGGAAGAAGCTGAGCTTTAAATTGTTTTTCCCAGGGACACCTGGGTGGCTCAGATGGTTAAGCATCTGCCTTCGGCTCAGGTCATGATCCCAGAGTCCTGGGATCGAGTCTCACATAGGGCTCCTGGCTCAGCAAGGAGCCTGCTTCTGCCTCTCTCTCTCTCTCTCTCTCTCTCTATCTCTGTGTCTCAGATGAATAAATAAAATCTTTAAAAAAAATAAATTGTTTTTCCCAGGATGGGGGATGTTGATATCCTGATGGGAATGATCCTAGTGGGAAGGGAAAACGCAGTGATTCCAGAGAACGGGAGAATGATAGAGTGGTGTCCCCTTGTAGGTGAGAAGGGGCACACAAATGAAAGGACATTGGCTTTAGATCAGATGAACTGTGCATGCTCCCTAGTAACAGGCTACTTTGCTGCAGATGCTGGCTGATGGATAAATTTGGTGCTGGAGCCTGTGTAAATTCTCTTAATTGCTTATATTTTCTCATGAAACAAAAAGAATGGGCATGCTGGAGATTTAAAGAGAGAGAAGTTCAGAGACTGTTGCCAAAGAGCAAGAGAAAATCATAGACTATGTAACCGTGGTAGGATTTTGGGGTGGCCTGGGGGCCCACTTGCAATACAATAATCCAGTCCTTGGCATTTGTAGTGCTTCAGGGTTGTGTACCAGTTGCTCTAGGTACATTTGCATAATGAAAACCCTGCCAGGTAGGGAGGGCAGGTAGTGGTGATATTGATTCTCATTCTACACATGAAGCAAGCTCCAAAGCAGTAAGTGACTTAACCTGCAGATCACACAGCAAGTCAGTGGTTAAACATCGACCCGTCCCAAAGTTCCCTGTTACATGTAACATCTTTTTACCGCTTTGTAGTGGTGTCTGCTCACAGATGACACAGTCTTGTTGAAGAGATGGAATGTAGAAGACAGCATAAGAAAATATGTAATCAAGTGTTTAAATTCTATTGTATGGCATGATACAAGGAGTTTATTCAGTGATACACGTTGAGTGCTTAATATGTGCAAGGCCCAGTTGTAAGTACTCGGGCTATCACAGTGAGCAAGATAGTGAAAAAAATCCTAAAGTTCTGTGCTTTGGAGAAGTTTTAGAAGGCTTTCTATGTGACTCCTCCAAGGCATCATCATTTGGTAAAAAGCACAATGTACTAAAAGTTCAGGAACTTGTTTTTCTGTTCCTTGCTCTATGTGACATTGCTTCAACTCACCACGCCTTGCTGGGTTCCCCATCCATATACTGAGATGCTATGGTTTTGCAAGTTCCACCTGAATAAAAGTACTATGAGTTTGAGTCTGTATTCTAGCCTAGGGAATAATTGCTCAAAAATGTTTTAGTCTCCATCTAACTTCTTGATCTAAAAAATGGGATGCCACATCTCATTTCATAGTGATAAGACCCTGTTTCCACAGTGAAGTGTTGCACTAACATGCATTCTAAAATCATGCTCTAATTTTTAAACTCTAGGGAAGTATGAAAGAGAGATAGGGGCCATGTTCAGCCTGCAGGTGCAACAGTCCCTGTCCTTAACCTAGTGATTTCTGAACACCCGTGAGAGGCTTTGAAATAACCAATGACTTTTTTTCCTTCTTCCCCCTTCCTGTTCAGGCCTGGAAGAAACGCTGGTTTATCCTGCGGAGCGGCCGGATGAGCGGTGACCCAGATGTTCTGGAATACTACAAGAATGATCACTCAAAGAAGCCCTTGAGGATCATCAACCTGAACTTCTGTGAGCAGGTGGACGCAGGCCTGACCTTCAACAAGAAGGAGCTGCAGGATAGTTTTGTGTTTGACATCAAGACCAGCGAGCGCACCTTTTATCTGGTGGCTGAGACAGAGGAGGACATGAATAAGTGGGTCCAGAGCATCTGCCAGATCTGTGGCTTCAATCAGGCCGAGGAGAGCACAGGTAGGAGAACAAACACGGACCTTTCTCCCAAGGGGCAGGGTGCTTCCTGGACGGGGCTTAGCCCTTGGGGCTACGATGAAGGCCTTCGGATTCCTTGAGCAAGGACAGCAGACTGCAGCTAAAGGCTCTCCTCTCTGCAGAGGAGTAATAGGCAAAGAGTAAGCTTGTGAAGGGTTTGGCCAAATACCAGCGGGACCCCTGGCCCTGATGACATTCTGATGGGAACCTGAGATGTGTTGAGATTATGTTGAGCTAAGGTACTCTGTGGTGTTTCTTCAGGTACTTCAACAGCACCCCCTATGTCAGCCCTGCCCCTTTCCCCCCTTGCCTCCGCTTCCTAGTGCTCTTACCTATCACTCATCCCATAGGGCAGCTCTCACCAGGATTCCTTCTCTGGTCCACCTCTGGCTGTTCTAGCCCATCTGTTTCAGACCATCCTGCACAGTTATACTTGCCACTTTTTTTTTTCTTTTGGTTTGGGGTCCTCTGTGATTACTGTTGGTGGATAATCCAGTGTTCTTTTATATTCACTTGGGAGGGGACAGGACAGAAAGGGGGAAATACTGATATATGTTTGGGTTTTGTTGACTTTCACAAAAGAGTAGCCTAACTTTTTATTTTTTCAGATTTATTTACTTGAGAGAGAACAAGTGTAAGTGGGGGGAGGAGCAGAGGAAGAGGGAGAGAGAGCCCGAAGCAGATCTGCCGCTGAGCGTGGACCCTGACGTGGGGCTCTGGGGCTCAACATGGGGCTTGACGTGGGGCTTGATCCGACCTGAGCCGAAACCAAGAGTCTGATGCTCAACCGACTGAGCCACCCAGGAGCTCCGAGTAGCCCAACATTTTTAACTGAGTTTTAAGTTGCAGAAAAGCTCTTTGATATTTGTTTGCACTCATCCCCAACTTTGGAATGATTGAGAAACAGATTTTTTTCTGAGGCTGGTGGAGAACCTAAATCAGTAGTTCTTAAACCTGGTCGCATGACAGAATTAAAGAGGAGCACTTTTTAAATGTTGATGCCAAATTTTTAAAATGTCCATGCCAAATCAGTTCACTATAAATCTCAGGGTTGGGACCTAAGCATGAGTGTCTTTTCACAACTTCATTCTGAGTGGCAAGGGTCTGAGGCACCCTTGCTTATTTTTTGTCTGGGCAATATTACATCTGTACAATTTTCTTCGTCCATTCATCCATTAGTGGATGCAGGTTGTTGGCATGTCTTAGCTATTGTAAGTCATGCTGCAATGCAGTGAATGTGGAGGTGTAGATATCTCTCCGAGACAGTGATTTCAGTTCCTGCAGATATATACCCAGAGGTAGAATTGCTGGATCATATGGTAGTTCCGTTCTTAATTTTCTGAAGAACCTCCATACCATTTTCCATACTGACTATACCAGTTACGTTCCTACCAGCAGTGCACAAGGGTTCCCTTTTCTCTGCATCCTTGCTAGCACTTACCGCTTATCTTTTTGATAATAACCAGTTAACAGGTGTGAGGTGATCTCTCATTGTGGTTTTGGTTTGATTTACATTTCCCTGATGGTTAATGATGTTGTACACCTTTTCAGGTAACTTGTCCATATGAAGATCTTCCCTGGAAAAATGTCTATTCAGATCCTGTGACCATTTTTTAATTGGGTTATTTGTTCTTTTTGTTTTTGCTATTGAGTTGTAGGAATTCCTTATGTATTTTGGATATTAACCCCTTATCAGATATGTGGTTTGAAAAAACGTATTTTCTTCCATTTCTTTGGTTGCCTTTTCATCTTGTTGTTACTTTTGTTGTGCAGAAGCTTTTTAGTTTAATGTAGTTCCAATTTTTTGTTTTTGTTTTTCTTATTTGTGCTTTTGGTGTCATATCCAAAAAAGTCATTGTCAAGACCAGTGTCAAGGAATATATTTTCTCTGTTTTCTTTTAGGAGTTTTATGGTTTCAGGCAGGTCTCACATTTAAATCTTTAATCCAGTTTGAGTTAGTTTTTGTGAATGGTATAAGATAGGGCTCCAGTTTCCTTTTTTTTTTTTCCCCCAGTTTTTCTAGCACCATTTTTTGGAAACACTATGTACTATCTTTTTCCCACTGGGTATGCTTAGTTCCCTTGTCAAATATTAGTTGACCATACAGGTGAGGCTCTCTGTTGTGTTCCATCAATCTGTGTATCTGTTTTTATGTCATACCATACTGTTTTGATTACTACAGCTTTGTAATATAGTTTGAAATCAGGAAGTATGATGCCTCCAACTTTGTTCTTTCTCAGGATTGCTTTGGCTACTTGGAATCTTTTGTGGTTCCATATGAATTTTAGGATTGTTTTTTCTATTACTGTAAAAAGATGCCATTGGAATCTTGATTGGAATTTCCCTGAATCTGTAAATGGCTTTGGGTAGTGTGGACGTTTTAACAATGTTAATTCTTCCAATCCATAAACATGAGATATCTTTCTGTTTATCTGTATCAAAGTTCTTATATTTTGAGCGGGCCGCATTCTCACTTGGCACTGGGCTCTCCAAATTATGCCACCCGTGGGCCTGAGCTAGATGTCCTAGCCTAGGAATTCTGTGACTTTCGTCTTCCTTGCAGAAGGATCATGAGTCCCCATTTTACCCTGAAAAATCTTTGGTATAATCTTTGTTTCCTATATGGAATTTCCTGTTTTCCCCAAATCTTTGTCATTTAGAGGTGTCATGGATTTTTTTTTGTTTTTCCCTTTATTTTGTTCCTGATGAAGGAATAAAAAGCTCATTGCATGCGAAAAAGAAACAAACGAGGAGGAGAATAAAAAAGCAATCAAAAGAACAAGGGGAGGTAAACCATAGACTGCTTCTCCCACCCCAGGCTCAAAGCTTTCATAAACGTGAGAGAGAGGTCCAAAGAATACTTCAGCTTTTTAGAAAATAGGTATGATTGGGAGATGGGGAGGAAGTAATCAGAAAGCAAATTGCTTTCGTTTTTAATTCCACTATAGTTAGCGTACAGTGTCATATTAGTTTCAGGTGTACAATATAGTGATCCAACAATTGTATACATTACTCAGTGCTCATCATGATAAGCGTACTCTTAATCCGCATCACGTGTTTCACCCGTTCCCCACTCACCTCCCCTCTGGTGAGCATCAGTTTGTTCTCTATAGTTAAGAGTCTGTTTCTTAACTTGTCTCTCTCTCTTTTTTTTCCTTTGCTCATTTGTTTACTAAATTCCACATGTAAGTGAAAGCGTATGGTATTTGTCTTTCTCTGACTTGTTTCGCTTAGCATTATGCCCTCTAGATCTATCCATGTTGTTACAAATGGCAAGATTTCATTCCATTATAATATATATGAATATATTTATATTTATTTTTATATATGGAATTGTATGTTCCATATATATAATGGAGTCTTCATACACACACCACATCTTCTTTATCCATTCATCTATTGAGGGACACATTGGGCTGCTTCCATAATTTGGCTATTGTAAATGATGCTGCTATAAACATAGGACTGTATATATCCCTTTGTATTAGTGTTTTTGTATTTTGGCGGTAAATACCCAGTAGTGCGATTGCTGGATCCTAGAGTAATTCTATTTTTGACTTTTTGAGGAAACTCCAAACCGTTTTCCCCAGTGGCTGCACCAGTTTGCATTCGCACCAACAGTGCACGAGGGTTCCTTTTTCTCGACATCCTCACCAACACCTGTTGTTTCTTGTGTTTTTCATTTTAGCCATTCCGAGAGGTGTGAAGTGATATCTCATTGTGGTTTTGATTTGCATTTCCCTGATGAGTAGTGATGTTGAGCATCTTTTCATGTGTCTGTTGCCATCTGGATGTCTTCTTTGGAGAAATACATGTTCATGTCTCCTGCCCCTTCGTTAACCCATATTATTTGTTTTTGGGTGTTGAGTTGTATCAGTTGCTTATGTATTTTGGATACTAACCCTTTATCAGATATATGCCATTTGCAAATATCTCCTCCTTTATCAGATATGCCTTTTGCAAGTATCTTCTCCCACTCAGTAGGTTGCCTTTAGTTTAGGTTTTTTTTTATTGCATCCTTTGCTGTGCAGAAGCATTTTATTTTGATGATGTCCCAGTAGTTTATTTTTGCTTTTGTTTCCCTTGCCTTAGGAGACCAATCTAGAAAAAGTTGCGATAGCCAGTGTCAGAGGAATTAGTGCCTGTGTTCTGTTCTAGGATTTTTATGGTTTTAGGTCTCACATTTAGGTCTTTAATTCATTTTGAGGTTATTTTTGTGTATGGTGTGAGAAAGTGGTCCAGTTTCACTCTTTTTGCATGTAACTGTCCAGTTTTCCCAGTACCATTTGTTGAAGAAATTGTAGTTTTCCCATTGCATATTCTTTCTTCCTTTGTCAAAGATTAATTGACCATAGAATTGTGGGTTTATTTCTGGGTTTTTCTATTCTCTTCCATTGATTTATATGAGTAAATTGCTTTTACCAAGAGAAATATCCTTGAGATGTGACAAAAATTACTCTTGGTGCAAATATATTTTTTAATCACATATTTTAAAAGTAATTAATGTCTGAATCCTTACTTTTACCATAGAGGATTTAAGTACAGTTCAAATACAAATGTGTGGAACCACATTATCTGGGCTTGCTTTCTTTGGTAGGAAGATTCATTCACCCATGCATACATTGTTTATTCAATTACTCATCCAGCAAACGTTTATGTTATAACCACGGAGGTTACAGAGATGACCAGTAAGGTTCCAGTGCTCACATATCATAGCCTAGTGGAAATGACAGACCACTAACCAGGCAGCCACAGGGGAGTGCTGGAATAGAGGCATCACCATGGCTGGAGACCCCAGCCCACACGCCACCAGCTCACTGAGAGAGGGGAGCTTGTCAGGGGGTGACAAATAATCAAGTCCGTATTTTTTCACCAGCTTTGTCAATTAAAAAATATATTCCCTTAAACCTTTGACTTCTTTTTTTAAGGGGATTATTTTATTAGATGCCAGATGGTTTCATTACCAGGGCAAGGATGTTAGT